CCTTCTTTAAAATAATAATAACAATAATAATAGTTAAAATATATTACAATAAATAGCTCTTTTATTATCTAGTTCTTTTACTATCTTTCTTTATTTCCGTAAAAACCTTTTAAATCCTGGGCCTCAGCAATTCTTTTAATCAATTCTCTCGATTTTTTTCTTAAAATTTTGCTATGCCCCCTTTGCAAACTTCGCGCAGCCCTAGCGATGGTTCTGTGTGGGAATAAGATTTAAATATACTGTAAAAATGAAAACGTGCAGTGCAGTCTAACCTCAATCTTCTATATTATCTGAGCTGTAACCTGTAACATATCTGTAACATATTGTATCTAGGCTCATTCAGTTATATTAAATCATATTATGATTTAAATAAAACCAATTCATTTATGTTACCACATGAAGCACATTTCATACCTGTCAAAACATATTTTACAGTGTGGTTACCTCTTGGTATATACACCCAAATCACTAGTGAACAAATTCATAGATGTCAGCTCTCCAGCTGTGCACCTAAGAGGCTACTGCAGAGAGTTTATTCACTCGTTCATTTAATAAACTGAATCAACAAACTAAGGCACAACTTTCTCATGGCCAGTATTTTGATGAGAACGGCACCAACACGGGGATGGAGGGTATAGAGGTGATATAGGCACATGGCTGTTTCACACGTTGAAAATAGGCAATGAGTTAATCTAACAAAAATATTGCCGCAAGGCTTATAATTTCTTATGTGGAGCCAGGGCAGCTGAAGAGAGAATGTGTGAAAAGTCGACTGGTTAAACTACTGCTGTCTGTGTCAGTGTGTGTGTCTTTGCTCATATTACAGGAGAGATGTTTGTCTACTTGGGCCACCCCATTTGACCTATCTCAAGTATTCTGAGGAGGGGTATGAATCGCTCTCTGGTCAGTCAGCCAGACCTGCATTCACCTCAGTTCACTCTCTGTTTGGACACAATTAGCTACACTCTAATTTCTGACATATGAGCTGAGTGGTACAGAGGTTTTGTGTTTCTGATTAGAGGGTGGCCCATGCTCCCCAGCGTTACCTGTGACAATGTAGGTTTTTGTGTGGAAATGTTAGATTCAAACAACATGATGTGATATGCAAAGATGTATAAATATGAGTTCAGAGAAATCTGTCACACTTCGCATTCTAACATCCATGTTAAAATTATGTTTAAGAAATAATATAATATAGTAGATATAACCAGGTCAGCGACTAATTTAGCAGCTTAATAAGAAATACAGTAATATACTGTAGCTACTTATGTGCTGGAAGGTGTCTCAATAATTGTAATCTCTGCTAGAGCCCTGCGAATGTTTAAACCTCAGAACTAAGAAAGATCCTCAGGGCCCTCAGTGGTGAAGCAACCCCAACATTTCAAAAAGTGTTGGCTGAAAACGTCCCCCCAAGAATTAAGCATTAGCGTTAGTTCTGGCAGGTCATGAAACCCTAGGGGGGTTATTATTGCTGCTCTCCCGGCTCATTCATGACAGGCTGCATGGATGGGCAGGGAATTTTTTGCCCAGAACAGAACCATACTGCCAAACCAAACTTTATGCTAAGTATCTATCATTTTGACGATAGTGGTCCTGACAGAAATGTAATTAAATGCATGTGCCTAATCATTGTAAAAAATAAAAAATAAAAACAAAATGGCACAATGTATATGTATACATACATATGAAAATGTGAAAATTTGTTTTCGGTTAGCATGCTAGCAGGCATCCTTCAGTCTGCTTTCTAACCCATCTAGAATCTAGTGCTGAAACTACTGTGATCTCAATAAAGCTTCTTAAACCACATCAGAATTACCAGATAGAGAATATAAACAGTGAACATAAACAATGACTTCAACCTTTTAGTCTAAACATTTACAAACAAAAACATGCATGCAAAATCATAAAAAGTGAAAGAGAAAGTGGAACACTGTTTTAAAGCTCTGTGCATGACTTCCACATAGTTTACTGAAGAGTTCTGTTCTAATAATGCAGTTCAGCCTCTATTTTAAATATAAATTATTAATAAAAGACCCCTCTTTCTATTGTAAACACACAGTCCCACCTGAAGTAGTGTGTCACCCGCTCAGAACACTCACACATGATGCACACCTTCACTCAGATGCTTGAGGGGACATTATCTAAATTCGTTTTTAACTACTAAATTATTGGTAGATGAGGAATGAACCACAAATGAATCATTAATCTAACCTAGATTTGAATGTTCTGTTGAACTGATGTACCAGAAACATTATATAGAGGCAGATGAATCACTCTTGTAAAATGAATGGGAGAAACCATGGAAATATAGGAAGAATGAATGTCCCTCATTTCACTGAAAGCCACAATGAAATGGAACTTTACAGTTTACTAAATGCATGTTATTGATCCTATTGTAATGATTCATACATGCATTTCATTCATTTTAACTCAATCTTCCTGTGAAATAACAGACTTCTCTCTACGTATGCAAGATTTCTCCAATCATTTAGCCTGATTAAACTTTAGCCCCCCATAACTGATTGCAAGTTCGCATTCACATCTGCCTCTATCCAATCAACAACCGACAGACTGACCCAAGACCCTGTTCTACATTTTTTCTTTTCAATAATCCGTTTCACACGGATGTATGTCACAGTACGGAAGGAAAGATCTGCCACTTCCAAAAAGAGCCAGTTGTCTTTTTTGATAGTGTTTGTTTCCTCTATACAATACACATGTGAATTTAACTAGACCAGCCTGAATATTACAGTTTATTAAAAATAGTAAATATGATGCTATTGTTGTCAGATTTTATTGATTTGAAATGTTACTAAAACGCAATCTTGGAAACCATTTTTGTTGTCATCATCTTTTGCTGCAGGACAGCTATTGCGACATCTTTCCAGGAAGATTGAAGGTGAAGTTTGTACAAAGTATACAATGCTGGTACAACCATATGTGGGTACAATATGCGTCACATGACTAAACATGCATCACCATTTTCGAATGCTGCGTTTTCACAGTAAATACTACAACTACTCCAGTTGGGAGAGCATCTTCATAAAAAAAAAAGAAACACTGTCTCAGTGTGGACAAAAGGCCAAAACATAGAGAAAAGATGTGTTTTCAAATTTACCCGGATTAATGTGGGCGTAACCTGAGATCCAATTTGTGTCCTAGCACAGGTGAATTCTCAAATAATTGATTCCACTACTTATTGAAATGCAAAGGCCTGAGTAAAAGTGGGTGGTCAGTATCGAAAGGAATGACAGAAATGCATTTCCAGAGGAAGCCACGCTGAGGTCAACGGGTCGAACAGAGTGCCACCCGCTTCCCCCTTCTTTGCATGTGAGGAGCTGCGTTGTCACTGTAGATGCAGGCTTGGCGGGGTTCCTGCGGTGGATCTGCTGATAAGACCTGCTCTGACAGAGACTAGATGAACAACCACACCTACTAACACCTGTGATGGCAGATGAGAGCGAGATAAGAGGAGAGATATACCACCACCTGATCATCAGAGAGGTCCGATTGCAGTGATGGTACTAGATCTGGCCTCCAGGCCTCTGCCTGCTGAGGAATCTAAACCTGCGCTGGATTAATTTACGGCCTCCACGACTTGGAAAGCAAAAGCTCCCACTGCTGTACCAACACACATGCATGAGCTCAGTGTGTGGCATGTGATGCGTGATCGTGTGACACTAGAGAACATGTGTGACTCATGCTCGCAAAGCTTTGTTCCCATCTCCAGTAACTCAAAACCTGTTGTAAGAAGACAAATTATATCCTCCGGTAAACATATTGACTTCATAGAAAACGTCCACTCAGGGCTTCATAATTAGGCATGTGTGACAGATGGAATATGCATTAAAATGTGTGCACCATTATGCTTTTTTTGTTTAGTCTGAGTATGTTATTAATATTTTAGTTGTATATTGTTTTTATATTGTTTTATTTTATTATTTATTCTTTTTATTATTATTATAATTATATTTGAAGGTGTAGCCTATTTTAACTTAAGGCTTAGTGTATGCATCAATACGGTAACACTTTACAATAAGGTTCATTAACTACTTAAGTTAACATGAACTAAGAATGAACAATACTTCTACAGAATTTATTAATCTTAGTTAATGTTAATTTCAACATGTACTAATGCATTATTAAAATCAAAAGTTGTGCTTGTTAACATTAGTTAATGCACTGTGAATTAACATGAACTAACAATGAACAACAGTATTTTCATTAACTAACTTTAACAAAGATGAATAAATACTGTAATAAATGTACTGTTGGTTGATTGTTTGTTCATGTTAGTTAATACATTAACTAATGGAACCTTACTGTAATACCATCAATACATATGTTACCATTGGTTAATCACTTAATATATATTATTTAATTAATAAAAACACTACTTATTAAAAATATAAATAAGAATACAAATGATGAAAAATCAGAATAGTGCAAAATTAATTTACAAGTAAGGTGGTGCTTCCATACAATGTTATTTTAGTATAATACACTATTATAGTTTTTGTTAATATTTTGAATTATATTTAATTTTTTATATTTTCTGTTTTTATTGTCATTTTAAAGTTTTAATAATTTTGTTTTTGTCATTTCGATTTTTGTTTTGTTAAAATGTCTATATACTGTAGTTTTTATTAAGTGTTAGTAGTTAGTTTTAGTTATTTTAATATCTCTACTTTAAACAAAATGAGAAATGTTGCCTTAGCAAGTAGATGAAATAAAATAATTGTAAGTTTTTTATATTTTATTTTATTTTAATTAATTTTTAAGTAATGTTTAAATGTTTAATGGTTTTAGTTTTAGTTAACAATAATAACCCAGTTTCCATCCCATCTTTATGTAATATTTTTACATAAATCTTTATGTAAATCTTAAAATAAAAATTACTAACTAAAAGAGAAGCAAATGAAAACTGTACATTATGTAAATAATAAACAATGTACTCAAATAGTCTTGTGGAAGCTACACAATTAAGGAGAAAAGGACTTTATTCATTGTACCAACAGACTTTGGCAAATTAGCAATCTTCGCATTTGGAAATGCATTTTTCGGCAATGTCAGGGCTGAAACAAATAAATAGCACATTTTTGCAGATGTACATTGCTGGAATAAAGATACATTTTTCTAATTAAAAGACATACAAGTGTGGTGTGAAATCAATCCGTCAGCTACTTAAACATGATTTTCTCCTTTTTAAATAAAGCTTTTCAGTTTCTTAAGTACCTTCAAAAGCATGTTTTAGTTAAATAAATAGAATGATCTCCATTTTTAACATGCACAACTGATTTGTTTGGGAAAAGTATATATACACATGGTTCGAACTTTCAATGACAGTACCTTACCATCGCACAGACACACACTCATACAACCACACAGGTAAGGAGACCGGAACACACACATACACACACGCACGCACTAACATACAAATGCAGATACACTATACATATCTCCCCCTCTATGCTTTTCTACATCGTCTTTCAGAGGGCTAACCTATCAAAGTGATAAAAATGCAATGCTGAACATAATGAAAAAGAGGAAATTATGAGTCCAAACATCACATTTTTAACATCTGAACAACACAAGATTTTTTTATTTTTATTTTTTTTTCCAAATGTTTTTCATTTTTTGAATGTAACAATCACAAAGATATGGATTCATGCATTATGAGCTTTGTGACTTGATCTTCCACCTCTCCCGGCAGGAAATCATAAGTCGAGGCTTGATGCTTCAGTGACGTCAGACTGTACATCAATACTCTTTTTGAGGATAAGATGAAATGCTACTTCTGAGAAAGTCATGTACAAACAATCTACAAGCAACTAGAAAAAAACTCTGCCTCAGGCGCCTGGGCATCCAGAGCTGGTGCTTCATTGCAGAGAAATAAGAATGCAAGTCTTCAAGTTCACTTGTCTTTTCTGTTTTTGCCTGTTTGTCTATCTAAGATGTTTCGTCTTTGTTGACGATTCTGTTGTATTTCCTTGATAGGCGGCGTCTGACTTGTGAGCTGCAGCGAAGTGACCCACTTTTGCCTTTCCCTGTCTGTTTAGGTTTTCATGAAGCAAAGTAGGAGCTCTGCATGGAATAGAGTCGGTCGATGGGATTCCCGACTCTCGCCTGCATTGAGCCCGCCTCAGACGAGGCCATGAAGCAGTCACTAAGGCTGGTCAATGAAGTGTCACTGTCAATGTCGTGGAATATCGAGTCATTTCCTGTTGTAAGAGAAAAGAGATGGTCAATATGATGCTCTTTTTTGTCGGAATCTATTGATTTATTCAAAAAGACATTAAAAGTAACACTCATGTATACAGTGACCTAAATACACCTCTTTTGTGATGATCATGTTTTTAATTTCTGTATTAAAATTCATTTTAATACAGACATTAATGGTGTAAAGTCAAGGTATAACGTCAAAAATATCAATGGTACAACTGTGCTGATATCATATAAGCATAAAATATCTATTACAGTTTACAGTAAAATATTACAGTTTGGGTCCGGTAAGATTTTATTTTATTACAATTAATACTTGTATTCAGCAAGGATGCATTAAATTGATAAAAAGTTACAGTAAGACGTTTACATATTGTCACGGTTCAGTAGTTTTTGGGGTTCTTTTGTATATATGTCTATATTTTTTACATATTGTATTTTATTTCAGTTAACATCTATTTTACTTTGAGTAATGAAAATGTTTTTTTAATGGTTTTAGATTTAGTTAACTATGATAACCCTGAAATACATAGAATTTTTTTAATATATATATACAGTATAATGTTTTTTTTTTTGACAATACTTTTCAAGACAAAAATAGAAATAGTGATTAAGAGTCACAGACCCTTATATGAATCTATCAATCTTCACAAAAACAACATAAAATTAATGACTGTTCAATTATGTATTTGTATGGGATCCCACATTCCATGCAATCGGATATTGTTAAACTAAATGGCTTCTCACTAACAACCGAGCTAATAGCAAATGTTTACTTCTGAGCTAATCTTCTCGCTCTATCATTTTCCTTGTGGGCACAGTTAGCTGTAATACGCTTTCCAGTACTTAATGACACCATTCTGAAAGACAGTGACAGGTTGATGGGCTATGGTTTTTTAATGAGCTGGCAATGTTGTCTGTCCCTGCTGTTCTCCCATAAAATCCAAGCTGGAGTGTGATGAGACCGGGGATTTGGGCCTTGCCATTCAGGAGAATGAATGACAAGACACTTGGGACCTGTTCTTAGGCTGCCTGTGACCGATGTCTCCAGATTTATGTGGCTAATGCTTGAAGTTAATGTCAATAATATTGAGAACAACTGGAGTTGTGTAGAAACAACGTCACTCTGATGAATTATAGTTGGCTTCTTACCCAAACTTTATACCAAATTTTGACGAATGTGGCAAGCTCTCAATGGTTTTGCTCAGAGTGTTGTTTTGCTAGCAGACCCATGGATGCTTTCCCATGGTTCTTTGTGCGTCAGTTATCATGGTTAACCATTGTTGTTTTACATGGCGCACCACAGATCATCGTTCGGCTCTTTAACAAAAATCCAATAGATAGTGTCACACAGCATAACAGACTACACCATTAATCCGTATGAGACCCGGGCAAATAAACCAAATTGGTAGCTCTGGGAACAGTGGATGGGGCGAGTATGGTTTTGAAACACACTGAATTCATTTGGAAGGAAAACTTCAAAATAAAGTGGTGCGTTTGTGTAATCTCATGAGGAAAGAAGGGTGGTATGGTTGCATTCTGTGAACCTTGTGGTCCAAACACATGCCCCAGCTTCAGGGAGCAAACATGACAGAGCTCATGGGTTGATGCTCACCATATGGGTTCATGTGGTCACCGGGCATTTGAGGAGGGGTGAGGCCCTGCTGGAAGGGATCGGTGCTGTAACCATTCTCCATAGCAACCATCTGTTGCTGGGCTGGAGCCAATGGTGTGTAGGAGTTCATCATTCCCTCCATCCGATTGGACATCACCTCTGGAATGGGGGAAAAAAAAGTAGATGTTGATCAGCCTTTGATATATTCTCATAGTAGGGATGACTGACATCATCTCTGTGAACTGGAGAGCGTAGTTACTTTAACAACTGTACATAATGCAAAACATTAATGCTTCGTTTAATAAGAATTGTTCTTTCTAGTGGATTGGGTTTCTCCAAAAATCAAGGCTGGGTCTGGTATCTGCCCTCGAAATCAAGTTGAATTTCACGAAAACCAACAAACAAGAAACACTCTTGTTCTGTAGCGGGAGAAGACGCAGTGACACCAGCCCTATAGGGCAGTACTCTATGAGTCATACTCAATGCCGAGGGCTAGGAATGACTCTTGTCGCTTCCAGTCTGGAGCCCACCATCTCAGCCCTCTGCTTTTGAGTGGTGAGCTCTCGCAAGAAAGATGTCTGCAATTCATTTCTACAGGCTTCCACAAGTTTCCATTACATCTTCTGCTCTGATGCAAAGACATCTGATATTGAGTTTCACCACACTGACACTTTGCTAGCCCATAATCCATGATTCTTCAAGTAACTGACTATCATAAAAAAAACTAAAATTAAAAAAATAAACACAAATAAATAAATAAAAATGAAAAATAAAAAGCTATAAAAAAATCAATACAAATAAATTTAAATAAAAAAGGTTATAACAATGCTTATTTAAAAATATATTTATTAAAACATATATATATATATATATATATATATATATATATATATGTATACACACACAAATTGCTTCATAGCTTAAAAATATCTTTAAAAACTTTTGGTCCAATCAACATGCAGGAATGCATGAAAGAATGAAAGAATGAAAGAATGAATGAATGAATGAAACAGGAAATGATATAATAGAGAAGACGAATAGGTCCTTTAAAATATCAAATAGTTTGACCTTTTTATGACAAGACAAGGCAACTTCAGACTATAAAATGTCATGTGTGCAACTTTTAAAAAAGGTAATATAAATAAAGTAGTAATTTAGGATATTTATAACACAATTTTCCCCTTTAAAACCATTAAAAGTTTCAAATTTTAGTGACATTTTTAGTGAAAATGGCATAAAGGTTTTCATGACCATCCATAAAGTATGTCTATGAGCTTCTTTTTTTTTTTCAACATAAAAGTTTTTTTTATTTTCTTTCTGCCACTGACCCAAATATATAAAGTTGTAAGGTATCATTAAAACTTTTAAAACAACATGACGCAGCAAAGTCTTTTCTAGAATGTTTTCACACCAATCACTGGCCCCACAGCTGAAACTATTGGACAGCTGACACTTATAACCAAGACAGATAGGATTTACGATAACAAATATAACGATGTATTAACCGTGGGGCTCCATTGGATGACATATTCCAGCCCAATTTCATGATTCATGACATCACGGACTACTCAAGACCGCTAAGGTATTTCCCAAAGGGGAGTCTGACTTCACAAAACTTCTCAATATCTCAGACCACCAGAATAGTTAATCTACACCTAGCTGTCTCTCTCGAGCGTCTCCATCACCCTATCGTTTTCTTTCATTTCTCTGAGAAAACATTTCTATTGGTTCATGAGGGGTAAGGTTCATGACCAAAGATGGATCACTATCTGACTTGAATTATCCCATTAAATGTGACACAGCCAAAGGCCACAAAAGTGCTGAAGCAACCAGAGAGAAACTAGTGTCAATGTGATGACTTTACACTTCTGTTGTTCGACAGTGATCTTTTTGCTCTACACAGCAGCGTCAAAGCTCCATAAATGAATGCATCGTGAGAATAGTCCAACATCGGTCTATACAATAAAAATATTATTGCTTGTCCTTCATCGCTGAAGATGATTCAATGATCGCTTGGATTATGGCTCTGCAGGAGAGCAGGCACAAGGGGGTCTGTTCAGCAATAAAATGTCAGTATAAACCCTCAGTTTTCCACAAAATAAAGATAGGAAGACTAGCTCTTATCTCAAACAACAACAAAAAATGTGTTTATATGTCTCTTTAAGAATTTAAAATGCAAATAAAATCTGCTAACAGGTCTTAAATATATTAAGCAATATACATATATTCAGTAGAATTAACATGTTTGATTATTAAAATGCAGCTCTAGGAAGTACAACAACAAAAAAATACTTTTATATATTGCTTTAAGGATTTAAAATGTAAATAGACTATGAGCTAACATTAAATTCCAGGTCTGTATTAAGCAATGTCATTAGCCATATACATACAACATAGTAGGAATTAAATGTTTTGATTTTTAAAATTTACCCTTAAGTACAAGTACTTTTATCCAAAACAAAATGTGTTCTCTGTATTTAAACTGCTTTATGGTTATTTCCACAGTCTCTAAAGACAAACGCAGAGAGTGAAGAAATAAATATGACTGATGGAGGAATGAACTCCACTGCCTTACAACAAATATTTGTACACTCTTAAAAATAAAGGTGCTTCACGATGCCATAGAAGAACCTTTTGGTCTAAATGGTTCCATAAAGAACCTTTAACATCTGAAGAACCTTTCGGTTTCACAAAAGGTTCTTTGTGGCGAAAGAAGGTTCTTCAGATTATAAAAAGGTAAGAAAGAAATGGTTCTTTAAAGAACCTTTGACTGAATGGTTCTTTCTGGAACCAAAAATGGTTCTTCTATGGCATCGCTTGAAGAACCTTTTGAAGCACCTTTATTTTTAAGAGTGTACAGGAATTAAGACTCTTGAGCTGTAGAGGAAACATTTGTCCTCCTCCATAGAGCTTGGAATAATATTCTACACGTTTCTATTTTCCAGACAGTCTCATCCAAACTCATCTGTTACAGAAGCTCAGTTGGATCGTCTCAGCAACATATTAACTGTTGAAAAAAGACGCCACTTGACGGATTAGCTCTTTAACACTCTCAAATGAAAAATTAGCCTAAAAAAACGGTATTAATACATGGAATGTCGCCAAGCATGACCAGAAACAGATTGTCTTATAAATGTGAAGGCCGTGAACTCCATGAGTGTGAAGATCACAGACATACAATGGCTCATCCTTTGCGCCCGGCTGAATGGCAACTTGAGACAACCGCTTTACTGAAACCGTGATGCTGGGTGTCTTCCAGCAAAGGAGGGAACGGGGTGGGTGGATCGGTCAAAGTGGAGGCAACTTCAATGAGCTTATGTTGTAAATGAATTCATCCACCTCCACATTTCCTCCCTCACACAAAAGCTGCACGCGTTCTTCGACCTAATCTACAGCGACCAGGGGTCATCGCCCGTGTCGCTCGCCCTGTTTTTGAGAGAGTGGACACGACTCACACCACAAGGGGTGATGTGCAAGGAGGTCGGTTGGGATACCTCACTTTCTACCCTTAGATATTCTTTTAAAAATTTAACTTTGACCACAAGGTCTAAGTTATGAAGCAAAACTGCCTATAAGAAGGCCCACACGGAAAACCTTTTACGATTTACACAAAATAGAAGTTCGTCATTCTACAAGTAGTAAATGTTTTGGCTAATCTGACTGTAGTATTCTCAGCTGCATTAAAAACATTTTAATAAGTAAAACTCAATTCCACAGAATTCTGAAAACGCAAAAAACACCAACAGATTGGAGATAGATGCTATTCATTCATGTTGATTTCCGTCTTAATGTCATATTTCGGACTGATGTGGTTGCCTTCAGGTTCATGTCAGGACATTTTACCTTGGCCCAGCCTTTGGGAATTCTGCTGCTCCTGTTGCTGCTGCTGTCTCCGCGCCAACTTTTTTATCTGAAAAAATAACGATAAAAGCACAATCAGAAAACTTTGCGACTCCCCAGACCAACTCTCGCCTATCTAAAGAGAGATGCTCCTTGATGTTCAACTCTGCTTGAACTACGCCAAGCTTGATCTGGCTGCATTATATTATCCACAGCCTTTTGAAGATAAAATCAGGGCTCTGAGGTGGGTTTCAGACGCTAACGTAAGAGCAGGATGGATGTGAATACATCTCTCTCGAACTCCTGGGGAGTTTTTTGTGGAATGCGTCGAGAGGTTAAGCTTCAGGCAGATAGCGATTGAGATTTGCTGTCTCGAGCCTCGCTTGCTTTTTCCCTTTTGGCAGCAGCTGCGAGGAGTTTAGTGCATTGTTGGAGGATTACTTGAAAATTGTTGTGTTATCTGGTCCTTGGATGTACATTATCAGGTTTGTGCGGGTAATACTGGATGATTAATAAGGTAGTGTACAGGGTCTGGACTCACCTTAGCTCTTTGGTTCTGGAACCACACTTGAACGACGCGAACACTCAAGCCCGTCTCTGCAGCCAGCGTCTCTCTTACCTAGATTATACAACAAAAATAATTTGTTTCTTTAGTGAAGAGTCTGTGTAATATATGGAATCCCATTTCCATCTTAGAGTGTTTAAAAAATAACTGATTTTTTTTCTCATTATTGTGACTTTATCTCAAAATATATTTCTTAGAACTAAATCGATTATCTCAAAACTTTCTCGTAAGTGCAGTTTGACCTCACAATTGCAACCTCATATATCACAATTGCTACTTTTCCTTGTTAATCTGACTATTTATTGCAATGTGACTTTACATCTCACAGTTGCAACTTCATATCTCAAAACTTTAACATAATTGCAACTATTTCTCACAATTGTGACCATTTCTCACAATTGCAATAATATTTTCATCTCACAAGGTTACAGTAATTATATATTAAAATTGTGACTTCAAATCTCAATTGCAACTTCATATTATTTCACAATTGCGATGTTAATTGCAACTTGTAACAGGCTTTATTCCATGTGACTATCTCTGTTACATTGTGACATAACTGCATATCTTGTAATTGTGACTTTTTCTCATTTAATTTCACGTAATTGCGACTTGATATTTCATACCTGTGACTTCATATCCCACAACTGTGATTTTATTACTTGTAATTTTGACTATTTCTCACAATTGCAACTTTATTTCTTGTAATTGTGACTTTATATGTCACAATGTGACTATGTATTACAGTGTGACTATATATCACAACTCGACTAAAAATACCAATCGCAACTTCATATCTCACAATTGCGTCATTAATTGCAACTTCATATCTTATTGAAACGTTATTTCTAGATGATTATGATATCACAACTGCAAATTTATATCCCACAATGTGCCACTATTTCATATTTTAAACTACTAGACACAAATGACTTCTATAGAAAGATAAAACTGTTATCTAGAGGAACTCACCTTCCGGCAGGGTTTGGAAGAAACCTCGAAGGATGCTTTGAACGCACGTCTCTGTTGTGTGGTAAGGATAGTACGTGGTCGCTTGGGTCTTCTTGGGTCTTTCCCATCATCTCCCTTCCCAGTGCCTCCTGAGCCCTTCTCCTTCTTGATATCCAACTCCTCATCTTCACTTTTCTCTGGAAAAAAATCCATCATTCACAGGAATCAGTACTTACTTTTAAAACTCTGCAACTTTTTAGACAACCTAATGATAAATAGATGTTTTTGTTCTTTTCAATGTTAGGAGATTCAGTCACAGTGCATCCATAATGAAAGGAGACACATGTGGTTTTAATACTTTTGTTATCAATTTATTAGTGCACGAGTGGGCCACATCCACTGCAAAACGGCAACTCTGACTGTGAAGTATGTGAATTTGTCATTGGACTGGACATTGTGTCATTTAAAATTAATAGCGCAAGGCTTTGGCTGTTTGACACTATATAAATCTTTGATAAGAATCCAACACACAGCGAATGCAACGTTTTGGGGAAGGTATGAAAGTGGACTACATATGGGAAATGAGGTCTATTATCCAGGGGAAGTGAAACAGATAACAAAACCACAAATTCAAGCAGTGAACATGCTTGCAAAAAGAACACTTGGGCAAAAAAAGCCTGTACAAATCAAACTACGTGAGCAGAATTTAAGCTCGCCAATCCATAAAGTTCAATATCTCACCTCATATCACACAATTTACACTGCCTGTTCATATGAACTAATCAAAGTGTCTCAATTAGTCTAAGGTGATCCTCGGGCGGGTTAATCAAGCCTGCCCTGTGTCATGATAATCTCTCTCAGTAGGTCCAGCTAATGTGCCATATTCACAAAATGGCTCCTGGCTTTCCTACTGTAATTATTATAGTCAAACGGGGGATTGGCTTTATTGTTCAGTGGGTGGAGGTTTCATCCAATAAGCCACATCAGCTTGTGTTTAATAGAATAATAATAGTAATTAAAAAAAAAAGGTGCCAAACTCCATAACGTGGCCTGGTTCAAAAGTTAAAAACCCAAATGGGCATGTTCCCAGTGTGACTGTTTTTCGAGATTAAGGGCTTCTGCGATTTGGCACTAGTGGCTTTTGTGGCATCAGCAGTGAACGTCTCTGGCGATTAGGCCTGCGAATGGTTTGGCCTTTTTAAGTGATCAGCGGGAGACACAAACATGATGGGCTGATTCGGTCCTCTCTCTCATCTGTTTCTGATCTCTTTTTCTGCCAGTAGAGTGGTGTGCTGCAAACTAAACGAATTTCTTGCCATTACACTCCACTTCAGGTCAACTTAGAAACGCAAAACTTATAAACGAAGAATAGAAAAGAGACAAACATCACAGAAAGTTGACGCAGTCTTGCTGAAGCATCTGACAAACTTCTCAGTGTTTGAGAGAGTGGTCTGTGTGCATGTGTGTGTGTTTAAATGAAATCCACATGGGGATTATTAGAAGTGAGATGCCTCATTACGGTGAAGTGAGGGAAAAGGAGTCCTGATAAGCAGTGAGGGGCTGCTGGTGAGCAGGGCCTGAAATCCCTCTTTTCACTCACACACATTCAAGCTCTTCTTCTTTCCAGCAACTTAACTTGGCCACATCAGACAGCACAGTGTGGCTTCTCTTTGTCAAAACTGCTCTTCCTCTGCTGACTGTTGATTAAAGGGGCCATATTCTACACTTCTGTGCATATTCTTCCCTTTCTTTTGACTCCTGTAAAACAGAACGGACTTAGTGTTTTCTTTCCATACAATGAAAGTCAGTGTTGTTTTGGCATTCATTGTATGAACAAAAAAAGTTCTTCAATATCGTCTTCTGTGTTTTGTAGAGCAAAGAAAGTCTTCTGATGTCTCCCCTCATAATATGTTCATGAATACACTGGCATCATGGTCTGTGGTGTGTAGATTAGCCTGTATTCATACCTGAATCCGAGTCATCGGGGCTGACAGAGCCGAGCAGGTCTTTCTCCCTTTCATAGTCATTCTTGCACAGCAGCTGTCCGTCCTTCAGTACAAATTCATCCCCTTTCCTAAGCTGTCGGTCGCACACACAGCAGCAGAAACAGTTGAGGTGGTACACGCACTTGAGCGCCCGCATCACAAACTCCGTGGGGGCAATTTTCTCCAGGCACCCGCTGCATTTGGTCGCAAATAACCTGAGAAAGAGAAAGAGAGAAATGTGTAAATGCTTGAAAAAGCTGTCTAGAAAGACACAAACAAGGTCAAAATTTAGCTCTAAACCTACACTACTGTTCAAAAGTTTGGGGTCAGTAAGATTTTTTTAATGGTTTTGAGTATAGTAAAAACAGAACAAAAAAAAAAATATATATATATATATACAGTATATATATATATATATATATATATAATATTTCAAATATTTGTAATATTATAACCATCTTTACTCTCATTTTTTATTTATTTAATGTGTCTTTGCCAAATAAAAGTCATAATTCTTAAAAAAAATAAAAATAAATATAACATCTTACTGACCCTAAACGTTTCATGGCAATGCACATGTCAAACAAACAACTGAATTCTGTCATATTTACTTTTCAAATATTTGTACTACTTTCATGATGGAAAAAAACAACAGCATCCTTCAGTACAAATTCATCCCCTTTCCTAAGCTGTCGGTCGCACACACAGCAGCAGAAACAGTTGAGGTGGTACACGCACTCGAGTGCCCGCATCACAAACTCCGTGGGGGCAATTTTCTCCAGGCACCCGCTGCATTTGGTCGCAAATAACCTGAGAAAGAGAAAGAGAGAAATGTGTAAATGCTTGAAAAAGCTGTCTAGAAAGACACAAACAAGGTCAAAATTTAGCTCTAAACCTACACTACTGTTCAAAAGTTTGGGGTCAGTAAGATTTTTTTAATGGTTTTGAGTATAGTAAAAACAGAACAAATCTAAAACAGTTACAATTTAAGATAGCTGTTTTCAATTTTAATATATTTTAAAATGTAATTTATTCCTATGATGGCAAAGCTGAGTTTTCAGCAGCCATTACTCCAGTCATCAGTGTGACATGACCCTTTAGAAATAATTCTAATATGCTAATTTGCTGTTTAAAAAACATTTCTTATTTAAAAAAAAACAAAAAAAAACAATTGTGCTGCTGCATATTTCTGTGGAAACCATTATACATTTTTTCTTTTTCAGGATTATGACTGTGTAAACAATGATATATATATATTTTTTTTTGAACTACCCCTTTAAGAGATTTTAAAATACAGTAAGAGTAAAGCATCAGTAGGCATCACAGCACAGTGAATGTCTTTACATGTGCTTGTCCATCATAGTTTGGTGATTAAGGGGGTAGGGGGCATGAGGTTGGGCCCCTGAGCGATCTGCTTTGACACTGGCTCATCTGTTAATGCAGCCTGGATAACTCCTCAACGCTTCAGCAGAACCCAATGGGAGGAAATACGGGATCACCTCTCGACCCAACGCACCAGCAAACCTCAATCAGTGGCGTGGGCCCTCAGCTCTACTGGCTTTACCCCACTCACTGCAGTGATTAGACAGGCTCCACCGCCACTCACACAATGCTACTGAAACGGGAAGTTATTTCTTAGTGAAGAGATGGCTTAAAATCTGTTTGCATTTTGTTTCGTGAGAGATTGGTTAATGCTGCTCATGAAATCAAAAGGAAAATGGCGATTTCTACATTTTTGTAACTATACAACAACATATTGATCAGAGAAAAAAAGGCATAAAATATTAAAATAGAAAAAAATATGTAAAATTTTTTCACTCAAATTTAATGCAAATCTACACTATGTTGCTGTGAACTGATCTCCTGTCAGATAAACTCTAAAATCATATGCTATGCCACAATACATGTCTGTTTACATAACAGACCGCGGCCACCCCCGCAGCCTTCATTTCCTCCTAACAGTGTCGATAAAATCCTTTTGGTTTCATTACAGGCAGAGATATTACCATCTTTCTCTCATCTTGTGAGGTTCAGCGGGAGCCCACCTCTACAGGAAGCGGGTGTGTGACAGTGTCCAGCCCACAAAAGCTGATTTATTAGCCTTGGTTCTTTTGTTTGCTCTGGCTGGTAGGACAGCTGCTCCAGCGCTTGTGCGTATCTCTGCATTTCATCTGTGGCATTGTTCATCGGGTGGGAGAGTCAGGGAGAATGCCCATCATCATATTCTGTTGATGTTGGACAGGGTTGGTTGACAGTGATGAATATGTGTTAATATGAGTTCAGATGAATATGTGTAAATATGGTGGGTTTTGTGATGGTAATTTCATTGTGAGATGGTGATGGGGGACTGATAATGACAGCCTGCTGGACACACGACCAGCTGCATCGCTGTTTGTCGGAGTTTTATATAGCTGGGTATTTTTTGTCGCTACTGTTGTTTTGCATGTCAGAGTTTCTATGGGCGTCCTTTGAGATGTCATGAGAATAAACCTATGTGGCATCCAGTGGAACTGCCTTGTCATTTATGGAGCAGCATCATTACTTATGTTGGAAAATAACTGGCAAATACTCATTGGTAGATACTGTAGGTTTTATGTACTATATTTATATACCATTTTATTCATTACAGTTTCTGTTAAACTGTATTTTACTTTATTTAAATGAGTTTCTATTTTATATTTAGCTTATATTTATATTTAAATTTTCAAACTGGTGTTCCAAAACAAGAAATAAATGTAAAAAAACCCAAATAAAAATCAAGTCAAATCAAGATTTTTATTTTTATACTATATATTTATATTATGTAATTATTAACTAGAGTTAGTAATATTTTTATAGTTACATGACAATGCATATTTATTGAATTTGTCTTATTATCAATTATTTAAAATTTAACATCATGTTCTCTTAATAATGTTATGCTTACTATTTATGGGAATAATAAATGGGATTTTTATTTTAACTCCTTCACAAGGGGGTCATCATATTTTGGGATCTTTGGGATCAAAAACCTTTTTTTGGGGGGGGGGGAATAACAATATGGATACTGGCATTAGCAGGCTGTACATAAGCTCATAATCTTTTATTTATTGTTGGACAATAAGAAGATTAGAAATGTTTTATTTGCCAGTGGAAAACTATTAATCCTAACTAAACTGTTGGCATGCCAACAATTCTCTTGTGTCCGTGGGATATCCGTCTACCTGGCTCCTTTCTCCATTCTGAGCGAAGGAATATTTCTATGGAACACACCTTTATCATTTTGTGTTTAGACACAGCCTGATCTGTTGTGGTTACTCCCAATTGTTCAAGTAATTTCGTCCATACAGATTTCATTAATCACGTGAAAATAGAATTATTTTCCCCCCACAAATCAAGTATTGAGCAAGCATTGAAGATTAGCATGGTTGTAATTTTTTGGATGAAGACCACAGCGCTGTGATATGATCCTGTAAAACATCTGTAAAGAAGATGAGTTGGTAACAATAACAAGATGATTTTGCACATTCCATCATATTTATGGAGTTTTTGCTGTCTAAACACATCCAAACACTCACAACTTTCACATTAAACGATGGCTGACACAGTATTTTGGCTAGATTAACCAGTTACATGCCGGATCAGTCAAACAAGTCAAACAGAATAATGAATCTGTCATGACTCAGTCTGAATCAAATGTTCATTCAACAATGTGAATCCTTGTCAAAGACTCCAGGGCAAAAAAGGCCGGAAAGCACAGGAAATTAACCCTATTGAGCGGTGGTAACACTTTCTAGTTTCGCCCGCTCACCTCGACGCCGCCCTGCTCTCAGGATCCTTCTCATCCAAATGAAAACATTCCCTTTCATCCGCCTCTTTTCTTCTCACCTCCTTTTTCCCCACCCGTTCTAATCTTGTAAGCCATTATTTTTCTATTTCCCCTCTCTGTCACTTTGCATTATTTTTGCTGCTGTAATTCCCATTTGTTCCTTCTGGAATCTTCCTGTCCTGGCTTTGTCCCGGCATCTAATCCGGACTTTTTGGCTGTCGTCAGCCCCCCCTGACCCGTTCCCTATTCTCAGTGGGACCTCTGATGGAATAGCCACGCATGACGCCCCTGCTATAGCAACCACACCTCTGCAGGAAGGCGACGGCTAACTTTTCGGATGGGCAGAGAAAGCCTTTCACAAACTGGCAGCAGAAGTAAATCCTTCTTGGAGGAACAAGGGGAATTAGCAGGGAGCAGTGGAGTAGGGATTTAACCCTACCCCTTTTTTTCCTTTTGAAAGCCACAGTCACTTCAACTCCCACTGATCGCCACAATCAAACAGGGCAGAGGTGGGGGGTAACAGAAAGAGAGAGAGGGAGGCGGCCGGGATGAGGGGAGTGAAAGAGAGCAGCCCAGTGAATGACACAAGCGCTGGATTGTGGAGGAGCCCCTAATCCCACTTTAATACCTTTCCAAGTTCAGCGCCGAAAGAATGCGCTTTAAAACAACACCGCAGTGTGAGTAGGCGAAGGCCAACCGAGTAGTGGTGGGGGTGGGGGGGGCGGCATTGCTCTCAATCCCCCGTAACATTACCTGATTAGCCTGGGTGAGCAACGTAGTATGGGC